CTTTGGCCATCTCATGAGAAGAGAAGACTCCTTGGAAAAAACCCCAATGTTAGGAAAGTGTGAAGGCAAGAGGAGAAGGGGACGATAGAGGATGAGATGATTGGACAGTATCACTGAAGCTACCAACATGAACTTAACCAAACTCCAGAAGGCAGTGGAAGACAGGAGAGCCTGACGTGCTCTGGCCAAGGGGTCACGAAGAGTTGGACATGACTTAATGACTAAACAACAACAAAGTGTGGAACAAACAGTTACTTAAATAATTAAATGTTAATGTAATTGAGCCTTTGTCTATTTTTATGGATAACACGGCATGTTTCAGTTTATTTGTGAATACAAGTGTAAAAGGTAGAAGCAAACACATATGTACAAAGTACGGTGATGGAAGGCACACTGTAAAAGAGGGAAAAGTAAAAGTTGAATTTTACCCTGGTAAAGACAAAAAATACTGACCTCATCACAAAACCTCTTCCAGAAGGAAGACATGTAGTTTTGTCAAGTAGAACAGGAATGTTCAAAACTTTATTTAGGAGGGGTGTCAAGATAGAAAAACCATCTGGAAGAAAAGGAACTGAGTGTGCAAGACCCATTTCAAATGCATACAAAACAAATAATACAGAAGTCCTTATTATAAACTAAATTCTAATGTGCACCCCATACCCACGGGACTCCATTTAACAATATTTTAATTATGGACTACCTCTCCAAAATTGTGTAGAGTATTCTTTATAGGCTTTCCCCCTTCCTTTCACTAACACAAATTCCACAAATTTACCCCAAATATCATAAAATTGTTAGAATTTATTTCCCCTCTTTTTATTTTGAGTTCAATAGTCAATTTATCCTTTACTTTACTTTACTTTTACTGAACTTATACCCCGCCCCTCCAGACAAAGTCTACTCGGGGCAGCTTACATGAGTAATAAAACACAGTAAAAAACATACATAATAAAACCTACTAACTAACAAACTACAGTGGTGCCTCGCTAGTCAGTTACTCCACATGACAGTTTTTTCGCTAGACATTGGCTTTTTGCGAACGCTATAGCGATTTGCAAAACAGTGATTCCTATGGGGGAATTTTGCTGGACAATGTTTGGTCCCTGCTTCGCAAACCTATTTTTGCTAGACGACGATTTGCTTTTTGCTAGACAATAATTTCACTAAACAGCGATTTCAGTGGAACACATTATCATTGTCTAGCGAGGCACCACTGTAATGTCTATATACATTTAATAAAGGTCCCATACTTCACTATACCAATCTTCTATATATCATTTTTGTCTTTCCAGAACCTAGCTATTAATATTCTGGCACTTGTCGTAAAATTGGTGATTAATTCTTTCAAGTAATAGTCCAAATCTGTGTTATCAAAAGTTGACAATAAAGCAATTTTAGCATTAAAATCAATATCTTTACCAAATATATCACACATTTCCTTAAAAATCAATTCCCACAATTTCTTAACCAGTTTGCATTCCCACCACATATAAACATACTTACCAATTTCCTCATCACATTTCCAACATGCTTTGGGGTATGCTGGATTTATTACATTTAATTTTACAGGAGTCAAATACAATCTTAAACAGATTTTAAGACATTAATTTTAAAACTCTCATCCTCCACATTTTTATCCAATCCTCTGTTGTAAATTCTTTTTTTAAATTATTTCCAAAATTTTCAAACCTACTGTTCCCCATTCTTTTTCCTCCTGTTCCAAAATTATACTATATATATTTCTTTACTATTCCCTTCAACATTGTATCTTGCATATCTTCATGTGATGACAGAAATTGTTCGTACTTGGTAAGTTCTCTACATTTGACATTAGTTTTCAACCAATCCTTTGTCCAGGTATCTAACTGAATAAGGTTATACCATGATAGTTTATTAGTTTGAAGTTTTGTCATAATCATCTCCTTCGATCTCATTTTGCTCATCCAGTCCTTCAATCTTGCAACCCTTTTATTCTTAAAAAGTTCTACTAAACCTTTTAAATTTGTAGGAAAACTTTCTATTTCAGTCACTAATTTTAATGGTAAAGTTGAGGGACAAAACTTCTCTTTATATTTATTCCATATATTTAACATATTTCTTAAAAATGAGGTTTTTAATTTGATTTATTAAATTTCTCTTTACTACATTAAACAAATATCCTTTGGCATTCCCATTTATTTCAGAAGATTCCATCTCCCACCAAATTAATTTTTCTTTATCATATATAATATCTCAAATAACTCTTAATTGGTTAGTGTGACGTGGCAGGCCACTCTGATGTCACTGCCAACTCAGGCTTCTCAGAATTCCCAGCACACTACTTCACTCTTGCTGCCACCAATTATAATGTCTATTTAAGAAGGACAAAGGTTTCCTTCAAAACAAAACAAGTTTATTGAGATAACAAAATAAAATATGAAAATCACAAGTAGCTAATCATGATGTCAGTCACTGTATCTGATTTAATCAATCACAGACTTCCCTCACTGACCACTTAGGCACGCAGGCCTCTAAACAAGCTCTTTCTCTCTCACACTCCAGATCTGATCTCTCACACCCTCTTCACACCCCTTTTTCTTCCAACTCCACCCTCTTCAGCTCCACCCTCCGTCACCCAATTGGCTGATGATTCACTGCCCAGCTGTGATGGACAGGTGGGGTCAGGGCTGCCTGTTACATTACCTTCCCCCTTAATAAGTTGTTTCATGGGAGGAAAGCTAAAGTGCTTCCTTCTCATGAACACAGAGCACAACAACAATACATCATAACAATTAAAAATAATCAATATATCAAACAATTACATAACCCTTAAATAAACTTCTTACCTGCATTATATTTTACACTTACATACTTTACCATTTCCAATGTTCCTTAATGCATATTACAGTGGTGCCTCGCATAG